GTTTTTTTTCTCTTTTTGCGGAGTTGGTTTAGGAATAAAATAGGTCTATCTTTGCTGTGCATATTTAAGACCTCTATGTTTGCAGTAAATGCAATGAAAAGTTCATATCTTTCTCTCTGAAATTCGCTGAACTTAAAGTGTTATTTGGCTTCTGCTATTTGGTGTTAAAGAAAGAGCTGAATCCTATAATCCCTTTACTGGGCTTGCCTGTTATTGTTCCCACAATCGCTCAGGTCCTGCAACCTCATATTACCTACCCTTTGTTTTTCTACAAGTCGTTGAAAGGTCTTGCTACTGCCTTTGTTTTGAATTGCATCACTGTTGCTGCTACCCAAGTTGGCCTAGTTTTTCTACTGAAGTTAGTCAAAGGTCTAATGGCCAGTTAAGTAAGAGCTGAAGTTCACCTGGACTGGAGGCTACATAATTGCTTTTTCTATCTATTTTCATTACCATTTGATTCCAAGGAATACCACTTACTTTCTTCACAAAGATTTAACGACCCCTTTGAATAAAGAGTAAAATTATTTGCCGTGAACAGCAGAATAGGGGCAAAACATAGCATTTAACTGCTGCACGTCGGAGTTGAAGATAAAAAAAGGAATTTCCTGTCCATATGTTGAACTAGGCAAATAATCGAGGAAAAGTAGTCTGCATTGTGAAACAATGCTTAGTGTACGTTTAATCAATTGATATATCTATGTGGAACCTTTGGAAAATTATAAAAACCTTTATCAAATCATTCAAGCCTCTTATTTTAGATTTGCATTATAATTTTGAGAGATTGGCTATGGATCACTGCACTCGCTTCCTACAGAAATACAAACAAAGAAAATGTTTTGTCTACCCCAAGGAATGCTTTCTTTGGCAAATTCTCTAGCACCCATGTCAGTAAACTTAAGCAAAAATTCAGAAAATAATTACTCCGTGGCCTTTCTCAAGGGCATTTTTAAAAATTGAAGTTGTTTTGTAGGGTTTCAAGATTGCCTTATTTTTTCCTTTATGGTGCTTGTTTATCAATGTTAAAATGAATGGTAGTTTGGTACTTTTCTAAGTTTGATTGATGAATTATTTTGTTTGTGTGATTTCTGTTGGACAAAAATATCTTTTGTTGAAAGCTTTTTTTATTCAATCGTTTTATGGGTAAGAAAGAAAAATACTCTCTAAAATTTATGTCGGTCCATTTTTATTGTAATGACAATTGCCAAATGTAAGGGTTGTTAAGCTTTGAGATTCATTTGTTGGTGATCTGAATCTTGTTGTATGATGGCTCTGAGATTGGTGTTGGGTATGCTTTAATCTGGAGAATGAGATCTTGGCTGATGCTTTAAGATTGGTGCTTTTTTTAATGAATTTGATGGAACTTCTTTCACGCATTATAAAGAGATTTGATGGTTGAGATCTGGAATAAAATATACCAGCTTCTATAAAGAGTTAGCTCAAGGTTCTGCTATTTTATTTGAAAGACTTGAGAAAAATCCTTAGCCTTACTGACTAGGATACACTAGCAATATGATAAAATAACGAATAAAAAATCTTCTTTTCCTTGAATGTTGTAGATCCTCATTGTTTCATAACAATTGAAATATTGACTTAAATTTTGGTTTTCAAGCTATCTTATATCAATTAAGAAGTAAGTGTAGTAATGATGCTTGTTAATTATTATGCAAAGTAAAAAAATCGAACTCAGTATTGCTCCTATACTATCAAGAAAAAAACTACTTTATATTACCCGACGTTTCACAAAATGTCAAGATGACGTTTGCATCGACCATCAGCAGTCAAATCTATAAATGGAAAACTATAGTAAACATCTTGCAGCTAAACAAGCTTCTGCTGGATGACAGTCACAATTATCAGCCCTTCAAAGTGATTTTTTCTCTTTTTTTGTACCATTGGAGTATATTATACATTCATTTCTCTTTATGCTTTTTTGACCTTTTATTTTCTAATGAGCTACTTGGGATCACTTTTGTTTTTTTATCTTCTGTTTTTTATTTTGTTATGTTGACTGTTTTTAAAAACATTCAAAACACACAAAAGTTGGTCGAGTGTTTTTAAAAACAAGTTAATTTATTTTAAAATCAGAAAGTAAAAATATGTTAAACATACACTAAAGACATATTTCTTAAAAAAAAGGTAAAAACAAAAAAAAATTGATGCCAAAGACCCTTAAGTGTCATGACCCGACCCAATGCTTAGAATTAACTAATGCGGGAATAGTGGTCGGACGGTATTAACTTCTAATTATCCACATTTTGAAAACTTCAATACATATATAAGAGCCGCTAATCCACAAAGTACAATATAATCTAAAGCATCCAAAAGTAATAACATCCAAAAATAACATCTCAATCCAGTTCTGAAAAATAAATCAACATTTGAAAGAAACAACATAGAGACATTATCATCATAAAAAAATAGCTAGCAGCAGTGGCCCTCTTATGATAAACAAAGTCTCTTATATCAGACATATCAATCTATAACTTCTTCTGAAAGAAAACATTTAACTTCAATTGTAAGTAAAAGTTAGTGAATGGTTATAATATAATATGCATTAAAGTTCTTTTGCTATATTATGCTATGTATGAATGACAGAAGAAAATGTATTTCATTTCAGTAAAACTTTAAAACTATCCCTTCCCATTTCACTTTAAGCATATATCAATTTAACCTCTTTAATAGTCATCACAAGATTGCCGTCATACTCCAAGGTATCATCAAAAATGTGCTCGAAGGCACTCTCAAAATGTTTTCTAAGGAACCCTAAAAAATTTACCAGAAGGTAGCCTCAAATTGCCCCCGAAGACACATCTTTACTATTTATTTAACGTGCACGGGCACATTGCATCCCCTGTTAATACCATATGGAGGTAATCCTGTATGATTTAAACATTTAACTTTCATTTCATTTCATTTATTTCATTTTAAAGGCATTAAACATTCTTTTTCCCTTTCCCCTTTTATTTCGTTTCATTCTTAAGCTATAACTTGCATAAGAACATATGATAATTGTCTAATGCATTAAAGAAATTCATTATTTAATAAACTTTAAATTTAATGCTGAAAATAATTACTCACCTTAGCTTAGCTTGCTTGCCACACAGACTCCTTGAGCCCTGACCTTCTAGGCTTAAATGTGCTTCAACCTAAAATTGCACTTAAACATTAATGTTTTTTAAATATCAATTCCTAATTAAATTAAACTTTAATTTAAAACATACCTTATGTTTTAAAATTAACTGTCTTCTTTCTTAAATCTAAAGGATTAGCCGGCCTTATTTCTCACTTCCTAACAATAATAATGTTTAATAACATTAATTAATTTAGCTAATTATGTTATTAATTTCCTTAATAACATAAGGTTTAGTATTTACCTTATAGGCTTTGAGATCAACTCCTCCCTTGCTTGCTTCGCAAACTTCTCCTTCAAAGCTGAAGATATCTTTGTTAGGATCCTGATTCAATAAAACTTCTCATTAGTAATTATTTAATTAAACTTAAACTCACACACACATGACACACAATGTATACATAACTTTATTTATATAATAATATATTAATTAACTTATAATAAATATTAAACATACCTTTATGTATCAGCCTCTGTCCTAATCTCCCCCACCGAGCCACACGAGCTCTTTCTGCTTCCTTCAGCCCCGTCTCACCTCAACAGAGTACGCAAGTTTCAACTCCCTCCACATCGTGTCTTTTTCTACATGCGAGCACGACAAATAGGTCTTCTCCTCTGTTTCTGCTTCACAAAGCTCAACAGCCCTACCAGTCGCATGCAAGGTTTGTTGCTTCCTTGCGCTGCTCCGACTTCTCTCGCGCATTTTTGATTGCGGCTCGATCTAATTAGGCCCTCGACACCACTTCTTTCTTCGACTTCTCCTTTTTTTCTCTTGCTCGGCTCGAAAGCCCTAACAGTACGCACGATACCACAATCCTCTTCTTCCCCGCATCGAAGTTGCTCCCCTTCTCCTATGGCTTCTTCTTCTCCTTTCTCCTTGGACTTTTTCTTCCTTACTTGGCTAGGGCATGCACGAGATAACTTCGTTCTCTCTTTTGAGCATTCGTTCGATAGTTCGTATGGTGTAATACAACTCTTTAAGTCGTAACCGAATGGGTGTGCTTATCTTAGTACCTATTCAAAATTATTATTATCATTATTATTTTATTTATTTATTTGTTTATTTACTTAATATCAGTTATTACATGAAGGGATACGTTTGATACTTCCTGTGAATTCATGCAAATGCGGTATGGATATCGGATATGTGAGGAGTTGAATTTGTGACAATGCATCCTTATTTTCTTTTTCCAAGGACAAACAAGCATGTAGTTTTTATCACCCGGTATGGATGCGTGAAAAATGCAGGATATTTTGGAACCGGTCTATGCTGTTTTGGGGAAATAGTCTTCTAAGGAAGTTATCTGCCCAGTCCATTGCAAAACCTGACAATTTATGATTCTTCGAACCATTATGCGTTGATAATGATGGTTTGGGGGAATTTTACAAAGAAGTTGTCTCCATCCCCTTTCAACTATTTTAAGACTTCTCAATCCAAAACTGTCATCATCATTTTTTTTCTCTGATTATAACTTTCGAACATTTAGAATAATATACAAGCACTTTAATGTGTGGAATATTAATCATTATTTAAGCATTGCCATATTACCATTTTTATTTTGTATCATATATCCTGTATCTAAAGTTTGTTCATGTACCTGTCAAACCACTTGAAACTGATGACACTGTTACTATTAAGACCAATCGTATCATTTTTTTATGCTATATTTCATGTGATATATTTTAATATAATGGCCTTTGTTCATATCCAATTTTTGTTTAATTGTGAAACTAAAACATTTATGCCTGCTCTAGTTATATACAATGTGGGTATGTTTTGTACCCTTAATCGATGCATCTGCTTGTTAATTTTTTTCAGTTTTGGAGCTGATTATATATATATTTTCTTATATGTATTTTTGTTTTCTAGTTCTTTACAACTCCACCTTTTGCTTGTGAGCCTTCAAGTCTACCCCAGTATCCTCCCAGCAAGGAGATGGATGCTAAACTAAGGGATGAAGAAGCTAGAAGGTTTGTGATTATTCTGTCCTTGTGATATTTTCATTTTATAGTTTTTGTTCTCTTCTTGTTTTTCTCTTTAATCTTTTATGTCAATTTCTCATTAAAAATATATATTTCCAAAAAAGAAAAAAAAATTCTCCTTGTTGTTTTGTTTCAGAACATAAATTTTTTGGTTATTTTTGTTGTATTTTAGGCCTCAAAACTAGAAAGATATGATTTCTATATGTCAGAATTTGATATACGCATCCAGCTGCTTTCATCATATATTTTAGCTTCATAATGTAGTATGAACTTTTCTGTACTTCATATTTCCGTAAACGAAGAATTGCAGAAATTCTCCCTACTACTCTAGAACCATGGTGTGGGGTATTTTTCGTGTTATTTAGGCCCTAAAACTTGAAACATTTGAAACTCTTTAGTCAAATTTCGAACACAAGCTACACTCGAATGCTTGCAATTCCTTCAACTTAGTAATATATTATGCACTTTTAGTCCCATGCTTTAAATTTTAAAATGTTAATTATTATTTATCGGAACTTAAATCATGTATTTCAAAGACGGGCATCATAATAACCTTATTGCAAAGATGCTTTACTCCAACCTCGTGATGCCAATAGAGACCACTCAGCTCTTTGAAGCCCAAATTAACTAAGAGTTTGTAAATTATAATATTATAGAATAATCTAACATAAAAATTAAAATAGAGTAAACTGTCTAAATGGCCCCTGGACACTTTATAGGGGGTCATTTAAGTTCTAAACAATCAAATGTTTCCAATTTAGTCCTTTGACTTTCTAAATTTAATTTAAATTATACCATCGAATCCTTAAATCTAATTTAAAATATTCCAACAGAGGGACTATATTCGGTCGTATTTGAGGAGTTAACGATCTAAATTGAACGCATTTATATTCTGTGATTAAAGTGTCCTCATACAAATAGTCTAAGGATTATTTTGCCATTTTCTTGATAGAAGGATTTTGATGCGATTATTGTAGGCATTGGATGATTGTATTTAGTATTCTATGACTGAAAAGTTTATATTTGTATCTTGTTCCCAATTTTTTTTGTTTGCTCTGAGTGGAAATGGCTCAAGATCTTTTTAAAAAAGTTACTTTTAAGAATTTGGTTGCTACTAAATGCTTTTTAGCTGTCTTTTAAGTATTTTTATGAGATAAAAGTGGAATCTTTGCATGTATGAAAGATAAATTGAAGAAAGATTATTTTAGGCAACCCATTTTTATATATTCATTGAAGTATGTGATACCATTCCATGGGGCACCCGCATTTAATTTTTCGTTTACAGTATTTAGAAATTATAGTGGATCTTTGCATCATATTTTCTTACTGTCATTAATATTTTAGAGGCAAGGATTTTATTTTTTGTTATTAGAAGGCCATTATATTTCATGTTCTCTCTCTCTTTTGTAAAATTTCTTTCTTTCTTCAGTCTAGTCCAAGGATGTTACTTGTTTTCAGAAACAGTCCAATAAGACTTCCCTTACCAATTTACTTCTCAACTTTCTCATAGTTTGTACCTCCCTTCAATCTAGCTCAAGGAATGTAGGTAACCAACTTTTTCGACATCGAATCAGTATCATCAAATGATCCCTTTTTACCTCCTTAAATCCTCTCGAAAATCTTTTTCTTTAAATCTCTTTTAAGAAGATTCCTAATCATCTTCGTAATATCCTACAATCACCCTTGCAAATTTTTCATTCAGATCTAGATTTTAATCTTTCCATGCCAAACCCTTTATTGACTCCATATTCTAGGCACAACTTCTTCGCCTAAATAAAATCTAGTTTAAATCCCATATATATTATAATCATACATCACTGCTGCCCACTCCTTATTTATATTTATGCCTATAAAAGCCCACAACTATTGTTACTACTCATCCCCATCCCTTGACACTAATGAAACCAGGAGATTTCCCAAATCCTCATCCCCACCTCCAAATGTATCATCTAGTCCAATGCATTCCCATTCTAAATTTAGAACATTTAGGCCTCCAGGTAAGCCCTAGGAATTCTTTGTCATCATGCCTAATTCTCCATGATCATATATATATATATATATATGATTTTTTCCCCAAATTAATTCAGTTTTCAATTCCGTTTTGATGCAGAGCTCTCCTGCGATCTTCTGTCCATTTTTCAAATGAGTTTCTCCCGTGAATGTCCTCATGCTTCCTTCTTATTTTATGAATCCTGTAGCTTTTGGATCGATCAAGTCCATGAGAATTTGATCGGGTCCTCTTCTACAGCATATGTGATTGATTCCATGATCTTTTGTTTAATTACTTTCTTTAATCTTTCGTGAGGCTATGGCTCATGACATCATAATTTTTAACCTATTATTGTCGAACTTAGTCGTGTAGATTCTTCTCTTGTGCCTTTTACCAAATTTTCTAGAACTAGTTTGTGGATTATTATTTTTAGTTGGGCACGACTTCTTTGCTTCAACGATTTTTGCAAATTCTATTTAGAATCACCTCATGCGATTATAATTGGGTCTTTTTGTTGTTATTGCCTATTGTTCCTGTAATTTTTCTTTAGCTTGTTTGGATTCAACGACTAAGTCTTGTTGGAGGGTTTTTTTAGTTTTTTTTAGTAGCTCTTTTTTAGGATCTTTCTATTAGGGCAACATAGTGGAATTCCTGTTGGGCTTTATGGTTATAAACAGAGTTTTAGGCATGCATAAAACCGAGTAGTTGGTGCTTGAATAAAATTTCTAATTTCTTTTTTTGTTAGATGAAATTTAATTGAATATATTATTCCTTATATTTTATGGATTCAATTCTTTGTTCAATTCAGAGACTTGATGGGTTTTAGGAAATGTCATTTCCTTGTACAAGTGAGATGCTACTTTTTTGGTGAGTTTTTTTCTTATGCTGTTGTGTTCTTTTAATTATTATTGTTTGAGGTTTTGATTGGTGCTAATAATTAAATATGATGCAATTTTATTTTAATTAATATATGAATTTCAGGCATTTTTGTGAGTTCAATCCCTTGTTCCTGGTTATTATTTATAACATATGGCCACTGGATTTCATTTCAATTGAATTTATTATGTATTTGATTTTATTTGAACGAAGAAAATGGTTATTATGGATTAAGAATTTATGGATTGCAAATTTTTTGTGTCTGTTACATGTTTTTCCACATTACATATTAGTCCAATTTGGGGATCTTAGACCCAAGATGTTTTGTATCTGGTTTGATATTAGAGCTTATAACAAAATGATTAATTGTGTTTATATAATGGGAAGGTCTTGCAACTAAACATTATTCGTCTTGGTTGTCACGACTTTGTCCGGTGCTTAGAATTAACTAAGGCAGGAACAATGGTTGGACGATATTAACATTTCATTTTACTTTTCAAAAATCTAAGAAATTTTCAATATATGTAAAAGAGCCACTAATCTACAATGTGTAACAAAATTTTAACCATCCATAAACAACATCATAAACGAAAAGCATCTCAGACTAACATATAAAGTGTCTATAAATAGAAGTAAACAATAAAAGAAACTAAACTCATATCATAAATTAATACCTATCAGTAGTTGTGGCCCTCCTCTAGCCAAGTCTTTCCTATTGAACATATCACCTAATTTTTTTCTTCTCCTGAAAGAAAATATTAATTGCAACTGTAGGTACAACTTAGTGAGTAATAATAATATAATATGCATTAAATTCTTATGTTATACTAGACATAAATGACCAAAAGAAAATGCAGTTCATTATATTAAAATTTTAAAATTTTCCTTTTCCGTTCACTTTAAGTATTTACCAATTAAAACTCTTTAATAATCATTACAGGATTACCTTATACCCGAAGGTATCCTAAAAAATATGTCTAAAATCACCATCAAAATGTGTCCGAAGACACCCTAAAATATATACCCGAAGATATCATCAAATTGCACCCGAAGACAAACCTTTACTATTTTCTTTAATGTGCACATATACATTGCATCCCCTGCTAGTACGATCTGGGGTTAATCCCGTATGACTTAAACATTTAACTTTCATTTCATTTAAATTACATCATTTTAACGATATTATGCATTATTTTTCCCTTTTCCCATTTCCCGTATGACTTAAACATTTAACTTTCATTTCATTGCATTATTTTTCCCTTTTCCCTTTCTTTCCCTTTCTTTTTTAAGCTACAACATGCATACAAACATAATTGTCTAAAACATTAAAGAAATTCTTTATTTAATAAACTTTAAATTTAATACCTATAAGAAAATACTTATTCACCTTGACTTAGAAGAGACATCTGAAAATGCTTATTTCTTCACTTCACTTCTTTTAATTAACACCTAACTCAATTAAAAATGCATATAACTATAAGAATTACATTTAAATAAAATCTTATTTAAATATAAAAGAAGTATTAAAATGCCCACCTCTTTTAGCTAATTATGTATTCTTCAAATCCGATGGATTTATTGAATTCTTCACACCTACCAATCTAAATAAATTTAATAACATTAATTACTTTAACCAATTATGCTATATAATTCCATTAATAATATTAGATTTAACATTTACCTTACAAGTTTTCAAGTCGATCTCTTCCCTTAGCTTGCTTATTAAATCTCTCCAAAGCTGAAATCTCTATATTAGAATTATGATTAAATTTGAAATTTCATTTATACACTCTCATAATCTCACAAATTCATTAAACACTTTAATAAAACTCAACATACCTTGAAATCCTTTGATTTTATTGAATTCTTCCCCTTCCCTCACCAAGATTTCACGTCATCTCATTACTTAAAATTTTCTTAATTTATTAGTTCTATAATAACTTGTAAACTTTATAATTAATAACTTGTAATTATTTATTTATTTAGTTCTATAATAACTTGTAAACTTGATATCGCATATAATTAAACTTAAACTTTAAATAATATGCACACATTTTTACAAAAATATAACTAAATAGCGGAATAACTTGTACAACTAACTTTATTCAGTTTATTCGGCCTG